AATTATGACTAATAATATATTTTGTTTCTGTTATTATAATAAACAATAAGTTTTATCATTAGTACTGTATATGAATTTTGCCATAATTGTAAAAACCTTTGGTTTTAATAAGTGCCATTTTTTTTTTTTTGTGTTCAATCAACTCTAGTTATGCCTCTGTTTACAGGCTAATTAATACTTTAACAATTAACACCACAGCATTAACAAACATTTTATTACAATCTTATTAAATAAAATTTATATTGTTAATGATTATGACAGATTCGCTATGAATATATAAAACAAACTTTTATTGGGAGTGGCTGGAAATGATGAAGTGAAGACATTATATTTAATAACTTGTATTACAATATTTGTGGGGTTTGATGATTAATTAATACTAAAGAACATGCAGATTTTGTGTACAATGAAACATATCTTTATTCCTTGGCATCATAATCTTGAAGAAGAGTTTGGGAAGTATTTGAATCAGAATCACTAAGTGGATACAGCCAAAAAACTGACAGTTACAAAGAAAACACAATTTTAAATTACTCTTTTCTTTTCTGACAAGTACAGTGATACCTCGGTTTTTGTTGATAATCCATCTGAAAACAATTGGCAAAATTTGAAACCAATGAAAACTGAGGCAATTATTTCCATATGAATTAATGTAAATCCAATTAATTTGTTCTAGACACTCCAAAATACATAACAAAAACACATTTTATAGAGAATAAATATAGTGTTTAATACTAAAAACAATAAGACTAGCAATCAATCAAAACAGCACAAAAACAATGGAAAGTACTGGAACTGTTTGGCTAGACACGAGGAGTAAAGCTCACTCAATGAGAAATAATGCCACACTGAGCAGGAAAACACATGGTTCACCCTTTGTTTTCACAAAATTAGCAGCGAGGTCACGTGGGCATGTTGAAAACAGAGACAAATTTTTCGTGAAAAAAAATGTATGAAAACTGAAACTGATGATAACTGAAGTAGGATAATATTGTATCTTACAAGTTTATGGGGATCCATGATTACACTTTTTGAACTATTGGTATATTAATAGTATTTGTAGTAATAATAAATCATTATAACTTGATTTAACAGTATATTTTAGAATAATTATTAACATCTTAACCACTAAAAAATAAATTCTTAATGTATGATTAATAAAATTCTAAAAATATTAGTCCTACTTAGGAAATTGTTATTTTTGCACAGGACAAACATTTTGTCTTTGTCAGAGTTCAAAAGCATAAGATTTAAACTGTTCAAGTAACTTGCCATCAACTTTTTATCATTTTGGGATGGAGAGACAGAAGGCAGAGAATGTGCATTAGAAATTTTTGTAAACACAGACACCTCCAGCTTGGTACACAAATTATTATGTTGACACCCTATAACTGCTGCAATGGTGGAAGGAATTAATTCAGTTGGGTTCTTCATTGGCTTTGAAATGAACTCTGGTCCTTGCTGTAGTAAACTGTGTGAAGTCTCCAGAACAACTTCATCTGAATTCTTTCTTTCTTTCTTTCTTATCTTGTTAATATGGAGACTCTAGCCTGTTGGCTTTTTTGCTGAATCACTTTGGTTAGAAATTAGGTAAAGCGGTTGGTGCAGTGAACAAAACGCTCCAAGATTTCAATATGTTGGTGAGGAGGAAGGTCGGTATGAGGCCAATATATATCAGAGTTAAGGTACAGACAATCGAGAGGTCCAAGGTTAAGAGATGGTCTAGCTCTTGGCGGGCCTGTGTGTATTGCGGGCAGACAAGCCAATAGTGGATGGAAGTTTCTGGCAAGTCACAGTGGGAGCAATCTGGCGAGATGCATTGGTGTCGAGAACAGAGGAAGTTGTTCAGGGGGGGCCGTATTGGTTCAAAGTCTAGCCAATAGGGTTTTTGTGTGGCGAGATGAGGCATGACATATATTCAAGTGATGAAAGGTCTGAGATGGGTGGGATTTTTCCCCCAAAGAATAGTAGACCAGGTATTGGTGTAGTTGCGGATGATCGATTTTCGCATCTGACATATGAGGTCACATGCCATGAGAGGTCTCCACCAGGAGCCGATGGGAGTGTCATGAGTAGCGGCTTGGTCTGCCGCTTCATTTATGTGAATGCCAACATGACCAGGGGCCCACCCGATTTCAAGAGGTGTTGAGTAAGAGGTGATAGTTGCAGCTAGGTCAATAATAACCGCTGGAGAGGAAAAATTTACATTGGCGACTGACTGGAAAACTGATTTGCCATCCAAAATGATGGTCATCGGAGTGTTAAGATGGACGCTGAGATTAACTGCCCATTGGATGCCGAGAACCTCCGCACTGAAGTCACTGCAGCTCATGTCTAGCAACCATGTTTCCTTGACTGTTTGAGCCGGAAGAACCACTCTGAAAGCCATCCGTAGTTATGATTTTGAGACATCTGCCCCATTGAGAGTCCAACCCCACCAGTTGGTAGAATGTAGATCATTGAAACAAGCATTCAAAGCTGCAGGAGGTTGGCTGGAAGCATTTGGAAAGTTGTCTAGATGAATTCTAGGTTGGATGTTTATGGGGCTTGGGGGTACGTGTTTTCACTGGTAGAGGTGAGAGATGGGTAGACCTTCCTGACGAATCAGGGAGAGAACCCTAGAGGCATACGGGACCTGGAAGGGGCGCCAGCGGTAATAATCTAGACTGGAGGCTGTGCTGAAAATTTTGTAGAGAGGGCTTTAGTGGCCTCTTGAGAGGTGAGTGATGGAGTGTGATATAGCCTTCTGACACAGTCTAGATTGGAGTGGAATATAGCCAAACTCAGCATATAAAGATAACAGCAGAGTAGACTTGGGCACGCCCAAGGCTGTGTGAAGGGCTTAATCAATGGGTTTTTCGATGCAACGGATAGTGGTTGGGGGGCCCCTTCGAGGAGAGGAGCGCCAAATTCTGCCATCAGGCTAAGGACGGTATAGATTAAGCGGAGGAGGTTGGCTCTCCTGGCACCGTCACTACGAGAAGCAAAAAATTTGAGGAGGGAACTGGCATGAGTCACTTTGGTTCTTAAGAAAGTCTCATGGGTGTACCAAGTGAAGTTATGAGAAAAATGAAGTTTGAGGATGCGGAGAGAAGGCACTGAGGGATATTACTTGAGTTAAGAGACAAAGTAAGTGGAGGGCGGAGGAGTTTGGGAGAAAAATCAACGAAAGCTCTTTTAGTGGCGGAAAAGGATAAACTTCATGTGGCTGCCCAATGTTCAAGGTGGTCCAGGGCTAATTGAGCTTTGCAAGCAGCTCGAGAAGGCCTAGTACTCGAGGTGAGAATGTATAAATCTTCCGCGTAAAAGACGGCAGTGACATTGGAGGGAAGAGCAGTCCAAAGGTCTGCCAAGTATAATATAAATAGAATGGGGGCAAGAACGCTCCCTGGGGGATGCCTTGGATAAAGGCGTGAGGAAGTGATAGCATTCCGCGCCAATGGACACGAAAAGAAGCAGTTGGCACACAGTTATATGCCCCTTCTAGGTCGAGTGCGACTAGATACACCCAGTGCTTTCTTGCACGGGCCACGGCTATATGGTGGTGTAACCTAATAAGGGCCTCTTCTACCCCTCAGTATGGGAGAAAGCCAAAGTGGTGTTGATGGAAGATATCAGAATGAAAGGTCCATTTATGCATTCGATACAGGATCAGCCATTCAAATAGTTTTGTGACGTGAGAGATAAGAGAGATTGGCCTATAAAAGGTGCATATTGTCACTAGGCTACCTGGTATAATGATCGGAACAATGGTAGAAGAGGTCCAATCCTGGGGGCAGGACCCTGAGGTCCAGAGGTTATTTAAGAGATTTAGGAGGGTCGAGAGGCTCACATTTGGGAGGGTCTGTAACGTGTGTGCACTTACGCCATCTGGGTCAGGTGTGGTATTCCAAAGACGGTGTATGGCCTGGCAGAGTTTGAGGAGATGAAAGGGGGAATCGTCAAACTTTTGGGCCCCCAGCCGGGATCATCAAGAGGAGCAAAAGTGCCCCTTGGGCTGGTATGCCCAAAGAAGGATGCAAAGGCTTCCGCCTGCTGGATGGGACTGAGTAGATAGTCCGTCGTTTCGATTATGTGTTGGGTTGCCGTGATCGCCGACCGGGATCTCAGTCAACAGAAAATGCGATAGAGTGTGGATGGAGAGGGGGAGAGGCACACAAACGACCCCACCACTCCCGATGAGCCTGATGGGTCTTTTGACAGAGTTTCGCTCCTATTTGTTTATATTTATCCCACCAGGAATGAGACGCCCACCTGCAGGCTAGGTGGAACACATGACGTTTAAGCACTCTAAGGCAGCTGCATTTAGGGGTCCACCATGGTGGTTGACCCGAGGAGGGAATGGAGCAAATTATAATATTAGAGGAAACCGTCTCACGAATAGAGTCTACAAAGGCATTGTATGTAGTGGGAATCGATTCCTTGTTGGTCCAAAGCTGATTGAGGTTATTGGAATAATGACTCCAGTTTGTCGAGAAGTGTAAATGAGAGGTAGTTGTTGGGTTAGGGGTGCCCAAGATAGATAGAGTGATCGAAATAGGAACGTGGTCACTGGTTAAGGTGTCCATGCAAGGGCTTCACAAGGCGGAACCTAATAGGTCCGGGGAGCAGAAGGTCAGGTCAGCTGATGATCCGTTTGGGTGGAAATAAGTTGGTTCCCCTGAGTTCCAACAGCATAAGTTTATGGATATGAACCAATCGAAGAGGATGCGGCTCGTGATGTCTGGGCATTTGCATTCATTGTCCCAATAAGGATGATGAGTGTTCCAGTCCCTGTACACTATGCGAGGGTGGTGATTGCCCTGCAAAAGGGGGTCCAGTGAAACAGCTGAAAGGACACTGTGTGGGGAGTAAACATTAACAAGGAGAGAGGAGCCTGTGAAAAATATACCAAGGTCTCTTGATATTTTGTGCCGATGATCTTAGGACCAGTGGGCAGCTGGTGGGCGGACCACTGGTGAGAGACTGCTATTAGGAGACCCCACCCTGAGCAGAGGTGCAATCATGGCAGAAGAGAGTGAATCCTGGAATGGAAAAGATCACTCCAGGAGAAAAGATCACCATGTCTCTTGTACCAGGAGGATGTCCACAGTACATAGCCAAGACGTTGCCAAAAGGTGATTACATTTAGAACGAAGACGTCTTGCGTTCCAGTGTATCAAGCAGAGATTTTGCAAGTTGCTTGAGGAGTTAGACATTATACTTGGGGGTGTTGGGCAGGTGGCGGCGAAGTTTAGCCTGCTCAGCTGGGGAGGCAATGCAGGGGTTATCTAGACGGGTTACTTTTGTGGACCCTGTGGAGTATGTGAGGTCCATGTCCGAATTTGGACCTTCTGAATCGGATGCTGCCAATGGATTGGTGGGGCGAGGTTTAGGTCTTTTCTTCTTCTTTAGGAGTTGGGCAGGAGTCAAAGGGCCTGCTGGGTGGGAAGAGCACTTATGAGACATGGACACAGTAGATCCTTGTCCAGACTCAGCTAATGGAGGGAACCCTGAGTTGGGTTAAGTGGGGTAGGCTGAAAAATTGAGCGCAGAAGACTTAACTCTGTGTATAGCTTCTCCACTATGGATTCCAATTGGGAAATACGATTGGTTAGGGTCAGAATGTCATCTGTCTGTCCAATAGTAGAAATAGCTGGCTGCTTTTCACAATGAGGGGGTTCTCTCGGCCAGTTTTGGGGGGGAAGTTGAGGCCACTCTTGCATATGACTTTGGGGAGTTGCTCTGTGAGCGCTTGGCTTCTAGATAAGTACAGCGCTGGATGACGTTGAATTTTAACAGGCGTGCCTCTTGCTGGTGGGCTGGGCAGCAGGGAGAATATGCAGAATGTTCTCCTCTGCAACGCACACAGCTGGCCGCAGTGGCGGTACATTTTATTCATTCATTTCATTTTATTAAGTTTATTAACATAACTTTTGTTATATGCCTAATGTCGCATAGCATAATCAGGTGTTACATACAGAAATTACACATTTACAATAATTACGTTGCAGAACAGTCATATGTATCAGTTGTACAGTGATTGGAGAGGGAATAGATAAATGTAATAAAATTAACAAAAGTAACGTACAGATGACAGTATTTAAAATACAAAATATCAATTATATATAATTGCTGCCAGAGCAACTTTTACAATTAAAATATAACATGTAGTGCAGCAGAATTGAACATAATTAATTAGAATTAATATAAAACCTGTAACACTGGTATCGTACACAAAAAAGAGAGTTGAAAAAAAAATATTAAAAGATATATTCAGGATATAATGATATCGTAGTTGGTTAAACACCTATGTAACAATAAATACTATAAATATCGCAACAGTATTACAATGGTATAATAAGAATTGCAATGAAATTACAAGTAGATAATTACAAATATACATTACAAACACCACTAAAGTTTTGCATGCACATTATGAAAGAGTGAGATGACAGAAGAAAGTTACTCTCATGTCACAAAAGTTTTGCATGCATCAGAGATAAATACAAAAATACAGATAAATACAAAGTAGAACAAAGTAGCAGAAGGTAGGTTTTCTCTCAACCACTATAGCAGTGTAACGCAGATAACCATAACTGCAGAAAACCAGAGCCACAGATAATATTGAGCACGTGCACATTTGAAGAGCAATTCTATCATGAGCCAATGTGAAGCACAGATAACCAGGTATCCACTGATAACAATGTGGAAACTTTATGCTAAATATGAAGACACAACATGTCTAATCACAGTGAAATCCTTAAGATAAAATGAGAGACAGTTCCAGCACTACAAAGTGATATTGGTGGATTGGGGTTGTAGCCAAGATTAAATATATGTCAAATTACGATTTGACCACAAAAGATCTTCAGATTTAACAGTGACTGCATAAAGCACACTAAATACACAATCTATTACAATGCAGAAGAATAAATAAACGGAGTGGGTAAGAAAATAAAGCCATTCTAAAACATAGTAACACCAATGTAAATACACAATGGAGGCAGAACTCAAGAGATAGTAGTGACCTGAAAATATTTTTCAATTAATTGAAAAAGTAGGTCGTGAGTTTCCTTGTCAGAAGTGAGGGCATGAATTTCACAAGGCCAAGGACGATTATTACTATTCAGGAAAGTGCATAAGTTGATGCCTTTCAGTTTCAGTCATGGGGCATTCAAAAATATAGTGATAGCTGCTATCATTAATTCCACATACAGGACAAAGTTTGTTATTATGTGACGTAAAACAACTAAGATAAGAATTAAAACGGCCATGGCCAGTGTAGAATTGTACAGTATGATGAGTAACTAAGATCCAAGTATTATGCAAAAATTTTAAAATATTGGGGAAAAATTGCTTAGTAATAGATATGTTATCATCCCAATCACGTTGCCAGTCCATAAGCATATCTTCACAAAGTATCTCTTTCAGTATTTTTGTAGAGATCTTGTTGTAGCTGACAACAATATTCTGGTCAACAGAAGCTGTCTTGGCTAGATGATCTGCTCGATCGTTACCCCAAACTTCACTATGTGAGCGTATCCATTTAAAGTAATAATCGTTATCAGAATCAACTAATATGCGTTGAATATAAAAGGCCAGGGGATGATCAGATAATTTTTTAATTGCGTTAAGTGAGGAAAGAGAGTCAGTAATTATTATGATTTGAGTATTGTTAATAATCCATTCACACCAAACAACCGCCTGCAAAATAGCATAAAGTTCAGCCTGGAATATACTACAAAGAGGGCCAAGTTGGAATGATTTACAGTAAATTTCTATTTTTTTGCAGTAAACAACAAAACTGGCCCCAACATTATTTTCATACTTAGAGCCATCAGTAAATATAGTAATGGCACAACTAGCAGGAGAAGTTTCAATGTACCTGTTGTTAGTGTAAGGGCTTAAAGTATGTTGAAAGGGTATATTTTCTTCCCATGATTCCTCAATAAAATGCTCAGAATGAGAGGCAGGGGAATCTCCCCTTTTTATTTTGCAAAGTTTTTGTAAATAATTAATATACTTATCAATAGGAGGCTTACGAGCAAGCAATTGTAAGCTGACATTTGCCGTAGTTCTATAAGCTTTAGTTATTAACAACAAGGCCCTACGCTGTGCCGAGATTAATTTTCGTTTCTGATGTACCTTTTCAGCAGCAACGCTCCAAGTCCCACAACCATAGGTGATAATAGGTACAAAGATGCTATCATAAATTGCTCCCTTTGCATTACCACCAAGTCCCCAAGTAGATCTTGCTACCTTAGCAAAAGCATGCATAATGTACCCAGTATGCTTGGTAATATACTCAATATGACTGTTCCAAGATAACGTATGATCAAGAATTATACCTAGATATTTAAGTTCTCTCACAACTGCTATGTGCTTCCCATCCATACGAAGAGTCGGAACATGTGTGTACAGGTTTCTATGTCTCGGCTTATTGAAAACGATTGCCTTAGTTTTGTTGGTATTAAAACAAAGTTTATTGAGCACTCCCCAATCATGAATCATACTTAAGGATCGATTAAACCTTAATTTCCAACTCTCTGCGAGATTTCCCTCTGAAGAGAACAAAAGCATAGGCAACTACGGCATCTTGACCAAAATGTTGACAAAGAAATCGATCAAAGAGTATAACCCAAAGTAAAGGTCCACACACTGAGCCTTGAGGGCGCCCTCTCATAACATTACGATAGAAGGAAAGGTGTCCAACAGAAAACGTTGCCATCCTGTTACAGCAACCTACTCTGTGGAAAATCCAACACTCCGCACCTAAGAAAACGTGGACCAAACACGTTGAGGAGGACCTCAAGAACCAACGGCTTGGTCTGAAGCAGGCAAAAGCGGCGGCCATGGATTGAGGGCAATGGAGAGGCATTGTAGAGAAAGCTCGACTTCCTGCGGCACCCACAGCAGCATACTGGTTGCTGCTGTGGGTGCCGCAACCAAATGCCAGCAGATGCCTGCAACCAAATGCCAGCTAGGGACAAAAGAAGAAGAAGAAGATAATTATTGAAAAGCTGATAAATGTCACTGGGGCAATCAAAGATTTGAAGCTGGTAAAGGACCAAAGGCCACCAGGCAGAATCAAACGCTTTGCTAATATACAAGCTAATGCTCAAAACATAGGTGTCAGTCTCTAAAAGGCGTCGTGTAGTTTCAACCACCATGTCAATAGCATCAGTAGTACATTTATGATGTCTAAAACCATATTGGAAATTATTTAGCTTGGAAGAAGATTCAAGGTGCCATGAGAGTCGATTAGTCATTAACTTCTCCAAAATTTTATCAAGAATCGGCAAAAGAGAAATTGGTCTTGTATCATTACAGGAAGATGATTTTGGTATAGGGATTATTTGGGCCATTTTCCACAACTCAGGGAAAACCCCGAACTGCAAACACATGTTATTAAATCTAAATAATAGGAGAGGTATAATATTCCAGAGCATTTTTGCAATATTTGCTGTCAGGCCATCAATGCCAGGTGCTCTGCCTATTTTTAAATCATGGAAAGCTTTATCTACTTTATTCTATGTAAAGAAAGGGGAGTTATAGGGAAGTAAAGAAAGGGGAGTTAAGGGGAGTTAGCAGCATGCAGATCCTGATGCCATGCAGAATCGTCCACCTTGGAATCTACTACACAAAAAGTATCTAATAATTTTTCAACAGTATCATATAGGGATGTAGAAGTAGTAGAATCAGTGTTAAAAGTCGTAAGGATAGTATTCTTCTTTAGTTTTCCTGTACACATTTTAGTAAGATAACACCAAGGGTTATTCGAAGCGCTAGAACAAAAAACCTTCCAAGACTGCAATTTAGTATTGAGAATACGATCTTCATAAATATGCTGGTGTTGTAAGTATTCTTCACGCCTCCTTTCTCTTACTGTAGGATTGTGACAATGCTTGTATTTATGGCATAAGTGATTATTAATTTTGCATAGTGTAGAAAGTTCTTCATTCCACCAGGGAACTAGCTTACACTTGGGAATTGTCTTAGGAATGTAAATATCACAAGCTGAGTTAATGTGCCTAATGCAGTGATGTATAGCAATCACAGCCTCCTCTCTGGTTTTACAATCAGGAAGATCAACAATGGAGTGAAGATATTCAGCAATTTCAGTCCAATTGGCACAAGAGGGATTAAATTGTGCCCGATAGGCCAAGGGTGAACAATTAGTACGATTACGGACGGTAAAAGTAATATATTCATGATCAGAAAAATTATGCGTGTTCAACACCTGCCCATCAGCAATAGAGGAGAAACAACAATTAGAGCAAATAGTAATGTCCACCCAAGAGAAATATCTATCATTGTTGAAAGTAGGAAGAGAGTTGGGATTGTTTACAATAAGCAAACAATTCAATGCAAGAAACTCTTCAAACGCTTCACCTCTACCATCTAGAGTGTCACCACCCCATGCTGGGGAATGAGAATTTATATCTCCAGCAATGATAAAATTACAAGAGGGGTAGGATTCAATAATCTGTTGGAGATCAGTAAGAATTACATTAATGCTCTGAGGCCTTGGGCAGTAAATATTAATAATAATGTATTTTGTATAACCGATATACGTTTCAATGCAAACCATATGTTCAGAGCTATAAGAAGCCAAATGAAGAATAGGTATATTATTATGTGGAATAATAGTCACCGCCCAGGGAGTGGAATTAGTGCCTTTTATAACAGAGCAATAAGCGGGGATGGAAGCAGGCTGATCTCATATGCAATAAGGTTCTTGAACTAGGACTAAATCATAATTATGGATTTTGCTAGCTAAAAGACAACTTGCAGCAATACTCCTATGAAGATTAATTTGCATAACAGAAATGCCATTTCTATGATTCTGACCCATAATCAGTCCTACTAATCAAATTTCCCTTGACACATTGATACACTATACATGAAGAGTCTCTTGCATTGTGCGAATGGTTTTCCATGTGATTATGACTATAATTGATGCATACAGGTAACTCTCCAGTATTAGGGCAATCTCTAAACATGTGATTCCCTGTGCAATGACTACAAGTCATTTTATTTTCTGAGCATTCTCTTGAAGAATGTCCAAAACGGCAGCATTTAAAACACTGCAGGACCGGACAAAAGTCAACAGCCCTGCAGCATGACCAGCCAATGTTTAACTTACCCAAATGTAGCACAAGCCTATGCATTGATGGGGATACTTCTATGATCCAATTCTGAAAATCTCTACCTTTTTTCTTTGTTCTGAACTTAAATCGAAGTTCTTTATTAAAGTCCTCCTCAGAATACAAGGAATGAAATGATTCGTTTTGATGGTAAAGATTGGAGAGCAATTCTTCAGTAGTGACATGCTTAGGTATGGAAAATATCATTAAATGAGGTTTTCTCTTTTTTGGTTGCCTAGTGTAAACCTCAGGAATATGCTCTTTAACAAATTTGTCCAGGACGGCAATACTCTCATTCTTTTCCAATTCAACCGCTATACCTCTGTTACCAATTTGAGGACTCTATCAATGCCAATTTTTATCTTTGACGGATTGACTTGCTTTTTAAGAATTTTATGAACGTTATCACTGCTGTTTTTATCACTGGAATCATAAATCAAGAGTACATTTTTTGCAGAAGGTACATGCTTCCGCATATTTTGGGAATTATTAGGGAAATTAATCCCAGCCATAAGTGCTGTACTATACAGCTTAGGGGTAGTATGAATAATTGTTCTGTTTGTTTCATTATTATGAGCATCGAGAGCATTTAAACAATCAAGAATCTCATCCTGTTTAGCTAAAATACTTTCATTTTTCTCACTGACTTCACATATAGTGTCAGTTTTCCCTGAGATATCACATAGCATATTAATTACAGAACTTTATTTGTATATATTAATAACACGATTAATACAATCCAAGATATAGTCAATATGTCTAGTTGTAGAGAACTTTGCATTAGCATTTTCAGCGATATACTCCTTGAGGTCAGAAATTACCTCATAAGCTGCAGAGCGGACAGCAGAAATAGACGCGTTTCCTGTGCCAGACATTTTTTTTGTTTTCGCACTTTCCAGCTACTAGATTGTTACTATGACAATGCCTAGAACATCAATTAAATAAGATGGAAAATTTAGTAAAATGCTCATAATTCAAATTTGGCTGGGCCAAACTGAATAAAACTTGGTGGAAAGCACACATTTATAGTTCTCTAAAAAATGCCAAAAAATTATTCACGAGATTTAAACCGAAAGCCCACAATTAACTGACAAATATTTATTGGAAGTATGCAATATTTCAAAAACTATTAATTCAAAACCGATAAGATTCGAGAATCTTACTCACAGGTATGGTGCGATTAAGATACAGTATATCAATCTGGATGATCGGTCATTAATGCTCTGGAAAATTAATCCAAATTTTCCAAAAGTTCAAGTTGTCCTATATAATTGTTCAATTTCTATAAAAGTAACACCGAAAGAATCCTTATTCCAGTCATTTCAGAAATATATAACACTTATATACTGCAACATCGTTTCTGCACAAATCGTAAATATAAACATAGCAAAAATTCTTATTGATCATACAGTTCATACATTTGATAAACCTCAGTGGCGGTACATGTGATCGGGCCATGGTCAGCCCTGCAAGTAATACATTTGCACGGCCTCGGCTAGTCGTGGGCGAATGGCCAAAATTGAGGCATCGCCTGCATTGGCATGGGTGAGGAATATACCACTCACAGTGGTAACGTTGGTAATAGATAGTACCGGATTCCAGCGGGGAGGCACTGGCCACAGAGAAGTAAACAGTGGAGCTAGGCACGATGTTATCCCTGTCCCATTGTGTGAATCGACGTATCTCTAGGATTGGAAGGTGGGAGTCCAAAAGGATATCGTAAATTTCTTGGGCTATGATTGACGGATCCACCCCACGATGGAAGTAAGCAGTGTGGGCACAGTCCAGGGTCAGATGGCCATGGACTGGTATCCCGGCAATATCAGGAATACAAAGAGTCGCCTCTGCGGCCTGGTGATGCCGAGTTTTGATTATTAGAAGACTACAAGGGAGTAGCAGACATCTTGCAGCAATTCCAGTCGGGGGAAATGCGGTTTGAGATCCGCGTGCAGCTCAGCTGGGCGAAGACGTCGGAGAGGTTTCTGTCCTTACAGGAAAATCATATAGATTTGGTCCGAACGAAGGGACGAACGGATGGAGAAGAGTTTCTCCAATTCCAACAGAGGAGAAATAAATCTTAATTTGTCAGAAGTTATGAGTTCTTTTGATGGTGGTTGCCGAAGGTGCTCGTGTGAGGGCGACACCATAACCAAGTCTGGAGGAGAAGCCACTGGCTGAAAGAAAAAGGGAAACTCCTACCTGTGCAGAGAAAAGACCAAAGAGGAAGACCAGAAGCTAAAGAATAAGGAACTGCAGTAAAGTCAATGAAAGTCGCAGGAAAAAGTTACTTAAAATCACTGAAATTGAGGAACGAAATGAGCACACCAAGATGGTGGTTGAATTTCACGCCAATCCACTTCAGCT